ACACTCACACACACTCTCTCACACACACACACACACACACACACAGTTATCACTCTCCTGTCAGTGTTTTCATGTGTTCTGATGACTGCACAGCATCACAGATTTGGTTTGCTCCTTTCACACTGGGACTGATTAATTCAGATTAGCTCTGTTTCTACATATTACATAGCACTTATTAGATTATATTGATGTAGCACACATCATTCCATTTAATATCCAGAATAGATTTTGTGTTGATATATATAGCATTGGTGCTGAATACTGAAAAAAAAGACCTAAACATTTTAATATCTAAATGAACTGGTTTTATTAAGGGTGCTTTCACACCTGCCTCGTTGTTTCGGAACCTGGCGTGTTTCCCCCGTTATCTCGGTTCATTTGGGCATATGTGAACACGGCAATCGCGCCCGGATCCCGTGGAACTTTGACCAATGAGAGAACAGTTTACTCGCGCGTGACTTGTATTAACAAATTTGGTCCGTTTAGAAACTTTGCCGTGTGAAAGCGAACCGGACCAAGAATAAAAAGCAACATTGTAATAATTTTAATCCCTGTTTCGGAACAAAGCAATCGATCTACAGGAGTGAAAGCACCATAAGTCAAAAATATTATTTAATATTGCAAAATACATAAAATTGTACAGACAAAACTACATTTTAGTAGGTAAATCAGGTAGAAATAGCACTTACCACTTTTTACACTGAGGGCACTACCATAGTACGTCTAAAAACATTTTAACGTAGTTTTGAATTTGTGTTTTAATTTAATTTCCATTTAGTATTTTTTATTTTATTGTATTATCATTATTAATATTTAACAGTACTACTTTCCTTTGTACAGTCTAGTGCTATCTAGTGGACATTTTGTGTTTAATGCAAGCTTTATTATTTACCATGTATTAAAAACTAAAACTAATTTGTTGCCATTTTTATTTTATTTAACTTTTTTAGTCATAAAAAAATCAGTTTTTCTGGTTTATGTATTTGTTAATATATATATATATATATATATATATATATATATATATGTATATTAT